GGCCAGCCTGGTATACAAGAGCTAGTTCCAAAGCTACAGAGAAACCCTATCTTGAAAAAAACAGAAAACAAAACAAAAGAACAATATTATAAAACTGTGATATAATATGAGAGAGAGAGAGAGAGAGAGAGAGAGAGAGAGAGAGAGAGAGAGAGAGAGAGAGAGAGAGAGAGAAGGAGGAAAGGATGGCTGGAGGGTGTAGCATCATCAAACCCTAAATAGAGAATCTGGCATCCTGATCATGGACTACCCAGACTCAAAGACTATGAGAAAGGTTTGCTGTATTAGGCATTCTGGCTGCCATAAACTTGTTATGGTATCATGTACAGAGGCACAACCCATAATAGGATTATAGATATTCTGAATTAAGTTTACATGTAAAATTGAATCTTACCTGTCAAATGCAGACACACCATTATGATGACCCATCCAATTTGTTTTATCTGCTTATAAAGATTTTCTCTGTAAGTATATAGGGATAGACCTACTCTTACACAGATACAGTTTTACACAAATCAATTTGAAGAATTCACCAAGATTTTGTTTTGTTCTGGTATCTAGGCCAGGCTATTACTGAGTATGCTATTCAATGCAAGCTGGCCTTGACTTCTACATCCTATGCTTTAACTTCCATAATACTCGAATTACAACAGTGCACCACCAGGCACTGCAAGGTGAAATTAATAATTGAGTTACAATTCAAAAGAACAATTATAAAGGAAATGATCTAAAAATAAAGCATTTATGATGGTGGGGTGGTGACTCAGCAGATAAAGTGTTCAGACTCCCAACACCCTCATGAAAGTTACACTAATCAGCTCAAGGCTGTAATTCCAGTGCTTGAGGAATGGAAACAAGAAGATTTAGGGGCTCATTGGCCAACCAGTCTTCTCAAAACAGCAAGTTCCCAGGTTTATGGAAAGATTGATTTTGTAACAAAAGTAAGTCAAAGAGCTCTAAAGAGGGAAAGTGGACATTGAACTCTGGTTCCCACACATGTACAATGACATCTCCCCACACATATGCACATACACTTTTATACCACACATGCACACACAAAAACACACATACACACAAATGCACGCACACCTTTGTGCATTTGCATGCACTAGATTTAAAAAAAAAAAACAAGAGGTAGCTTCTGTTAGTGCATTGCACTATTGATAACCTCCATACTATGAGAACGATTTATTTTGCCCTTAATTTGCAAATCATGTTTTTCAAATAAATATTATCATAAAATGCAATGTTTCCTTGTGGATAAAAGCTATAAAATTTTAGCGTGAATCCCCAACATACTTCATTAGACACACCAATAAGGTCTGCTATGATAGGAGTTATTTTTTGTAGACTCCAGCAATCTCGGACGAGGGTCTTGATTTGTGCAAACCTTTCTATCCTATACTATAACTTATTATGAGCAGTTATAACAAATTAATTTTTATATTGCAAAACCCCAAGACTTAAGCTGTTAATAGCAACCTTTCAATACACTTGGGCATTACCAGGTCAGAATTCTGTGAACAAAAAGGTAGAGAAGCCTCCCTCCTCCCAGCATTGGGATGAAGCACTCTCTTCTGATGCACAGTGATGGGCTATTATTGACTCTGCAGAGATGATGGAATGTGGTGCTTCAGAGCAAATATCTAGACCTTTGGCCTTTAGTATTTGTGGTAATATGAACTTGATAAGTTGCTCATCCTCTGTTTATGTCTATTTCCTTACCTCTTTGGGAAAAAAAAAGAAACCATATTTTTGTGATACAGGGGAAAGCTGGGGCTGGAAAGAATGAGAGTCCCTGGATTATAATTAAGGGTTTCTCACTTCAGGTGAGCAATAACTTGAGGGACTAGGGTCCAGGACAACCAAATCAACAGCCGCCAAAGCTACCCTTGGCCATTGGCTTCTGCATCCTTTGCTGTCTCTACTCAAAGGATGACTTTCATGAACAATATGACTTTTAAAAAGGAGTTCCCGTGGGTTATACAAGACAGCTTAAGAGAAACCAAACAAGCAGAGATCCAAAGTGGCAGGAACAGTTCCCAAAGACAGTTTGGCACAAGTGCCACCACCTAGAAGCTAATAGTGCTGCACCGGGTTAAAGCATGGGGGTGAACTGATCCGTCAACCCACAGGTCTAGACTGGAGTTCACACACTCACTCCTAGCATCCAGGCAGTTGAGTTCATGTAAATTGCCAATCAGAGGGGAAGAAAGGTAAAAAGAAACCAGAGAGCACCCGAGTGCCCTTACACGCTTGTGATATCTCTCCCCTCCAGCCAGGATAGATCTGCCTGTAGAACCAAAGAGAGTTCTGACTTTTGGATAGGAAGCCATAGGACTATTCACTTTCGAGGCCACTGTCCTAAAACCATCCTACTGGCTTCCCTCACCACTGCCTTGTCCTGTCTATATGAAGACTAAGTGGATTTATACATGTAGAGCACTGATTATAATGGTAATGTGAAGTACATTTTCAGTCCATCCTAATTGTTATTCTAGCTTGCAGTAGATTGGTCTTGAACGCACTCCAGGTCCTTGGCTCACATTTCTGCCTTTCTCAGTTCGTGATGTTCCTCTGGCCCTCCACCCCATCTGCTTGTAGTTTTCTTCATCCAGGAAGAGATTCTATAGCTAAAGCTACACCCATCAAGGGCATTCGCTCCTTTTGCTGGAATTATTGGTTCAGCCATGAACACAGGCTACCAACAAGAAAAGTCAGATTTAGTCTTCGGATTTTGAATTTTGCATGATCTCTTGTCCTCTGGATATAAACATTGAAAGGGCTATGGGCAGATTTACTATCTTTGCCTCATGTGGTAGCTGGGGTTTCAATGAGCAGAGGCAAAATTTTACTTTAAAAAAAAGGATGTGGGAAAGAAGCATGCTAATGTTGCCCATTTCCTTCCTAGTTCAGTGAGTCTGGAATCTCCCCAATTCCCGGTATTCTCAGTTACCACAGCCATCCGACTCCATGTGGTTTAATCCGTGCTAGATAGGTTTTATTGCACTTGACAGCAACCAGGCAGACAGACAGACAAACATTTTTCCTTTACATTTGAAGAGCAAGATATGTTTCCCATTATATTTTCTCTTCTTTGTGATCTGTTTCTTAATCAGAAACTGCCATAATTTTTATAATTTTCAGCAAAATGCTCCAACACATTAATTTCTGCTACAACAAAGAATACAGCCTACCTCTAGGTGGAGACATACAGTTGTCCCTTCCTTAAGAGATAGTCCAGTCAGACAGGTCAACCACAGGGCTACGAGCTAGGAGGAATAATTCTCTCTCCAAAATTATCCCTCCAGTGAGTTAGTGTACCTTTCCTTCCTAGAATCCCACCCCAGCACTGTCCCTACAAGCTTCCATGAATTCTGCTGAGCTTGGCCCACTTTCATGAGCACTGACTCAGAAAGGCATAAATCACCCTTTGTTGGTTTTTTGTTTGTTTGTTTGTTTTCTTTTCTCTCCTCTGTCTCCATCTTCTAGGTCCTGGCCAGAGCACTTAGTATGTTTTGTCTGGGACTTTGGGCTTCTTTACTCCTTTTTAAAGGTCCCCTACCCACTACGAGGTTGCGGTTCCACCATGTGGCTGACTTCTCTGAGGTTTAACTAACTTAAAGAGTTCTTGCTTTTCTTTGCCTTTCTTCTCTAGGGAGGTGGAGAGATTTCCAGTTTCCCTACCTTGAGTTTTTCTTTTAAGTGCTAATAGAGCTTCCCTTAAGCTTCCTTTTGAGTCTGTTCTTAATTTCTTTTATTAATGAGATTAAGGATCCCAAGAGGGGACAATCATTTCCCCTGTAACATGTAGCAATTCCACCAGAACGTTCCAAAATTCCTAGTAAGATTTTCATGTACCCTGACTGGGTAGAATACATTTCAACTTCAGGTTAATGCTGCACTAAAAATTGAGAGAATATCTTCATTTTCTTGGTTCTGAGTATGCTAGTGTGTGTTAGGGAACCTTACAAGTAAAATGTACTAGAGAAGAAAAATTTTACCCATAAAATGTATAAGTGACTTTTGAGCGTATTTTTCTTATGTATGGTAACAAATCTCTAAGCTACTCTAAAAAAGTCACTATGTCTCAAGCAACAGGAACACAACTAAGAAAACAACGGTGAAGAACTTTTTTTAATTACTTGTTTGTGCAAAAGGAGTTAAATTCAGATGCTATTATCCTCAGCTTGATAAAAAGCAGCTGAGCAAACGTGTTGAGAAACCAAGGGCCGCCTCTTTCGGAGCTGCTGCGGGGCAGGTGTTTGAGTTTCCCCTTTAAGTCCTTCCCTTCTTTTTGTGCCTGTGACCTAGGACTATTTTCTCCCAGGTTTATAGATAAGCCTTTCTCACTTTAAATCTGCTCATCTTGTTTGTGATCCAGAGGACAGAAAGCAATTGCACTAAATCCTTAAGTCTGTTTGCATACAAATGGCACCTTCTAGGCCTGGTTTACATTACCCAAGCAAGTTTTGTCTGGGAAATTCACTTCCAGACTTGCACATGGGTGTCAGTTTTCATCAAGGGTGAATCTATTAGTCTCCTTCATTTCCTGATTACTCAAGGCTTTATCAACTAGAAGGGATTTAACTTGCTTGAAGGATAAGCAATCCATCCATTTCTCCAGATATGGTGAATTTTCTCTCTGAATCTAGCCAGACAAGCACAAAACCCTCTGATAGAATCACCTGAATGGGCTTTGCTAATTCCTGGGCTTTCATTGAAGGCCAGAAGAGTCCGTCTTAGGAAAAGTTACTCCTCTCTATACTGAGACTAAAGAAGTATGGCCGAATGTTCTCTCTGTAAATTAACTTTAACTATTGTTTAAGGCATACTCCATAATATATTTGAGAAACTAGGAGTTAGACGGATTCCCTGATAAACAGACAGGGAGCAGGGTCAGGACTTCCAAAGTGGAAGTGTCTTCTTCACCTTTCTGATCGGAGACAAAAACCTGGGAGTTTGATTTTTATTTTTCTATAATTTTTTATTTTCACATTTGAACACACATGTTAAATTACATACTGTGTAATCAACATCATTCCTTAGGAGTTTAAAAGAGGCTTTTGAATCTTTTCATTACAACTGAGTAGAATTCCTTTTTCAGTTTCTTTAGAGTTGCCGAACTTTTTTTTCTGTGCTTTTTATACTGATATCTAACTTGTCCACTTTGGTTGTAAGCCGGTCAAGAATGTCGTCCTGCTCCTCAATTTCCGTCTGCATTCCTAAGGCTATGTTCTTGAGTCGGCCCAGTCCCATGGACAGCTCATCTAGGTTGCTGTCGATCTTCTGGTGACAGGCACGAAGGCTCGCGTTCTTTGGGTAAACATCAGTAGTCACAGCAGAAGCGGGCTCTTTGGGGATGGGGTCTTCATCATTAAGTCTTCTGAGGTTTGGGTGGCTAGCTTGGTACTTGCTTTTCTGCTCTCTACCTGTATTTATGGCTTCTTTCAATCTGCTGCTGGGCTGAGGGGCAATGCTGCCATTCTGTTCAGGTGGAGTCTCTACTGGTTTGGATTTGAAGTAGTTGATAAATCCTCCAAACACACTTTTAAAGCTGTTGATGTGTTTCTGGCTTGTCTTCAGATCCTGATCCATCTTGTCTACCATCTTCTCGGTGTGTTCTAGGACTCCTCGCTGCCGGACCAGCTCCTCAGAAGAGGCGACTCCGACCTTCTCCGATTCAAACGTGAGGGCCAAGGACCTGCTGGTGCTGGCGGCCGTAGCCTCGGCCCTGCGCAGCACCTCCTGTCGCAGGTACTGCTGACGGTCCATGGGCGCGTCGGGCCCGTCGGGCGGGTCGCGGGCGTCCTTCCACGGTGACGGCCGGGTGTCCTCATCTTCCACGTCGTCGTCGAAAGGATTATAGCTTTTGGGGTAACCGGACATGGTGTCCGCGACGGCCTGGACCTAGGAAGCAGTAGAGACGACCAGGCGTGAGGTCGACAGCCCAGTTGGGCTGACTCGGTGGCAGCCGCGCGCGCCACTTCCGCCAGGACTGGCCGGCAGCCCTGCCTCCGGAGCCAACCATCGCACCGAGCGGCCGAAGGCTTTCTATAAATTTTTTAATGAGTTATGTATTTTTATTTTATGTGCATTGGTGTTTTGCTTGTATGTATATCTATGTGAGGGTGTCGGATCCCTTGAAATTGTAGTAACAGACAGTTGTGAGCTGCCCTGTAGGTGTGGGGAACTGAACTCTGATCCTCTGGTGTGAGCAGCCAGGGCTCCTAACTGCTGAATCATCTCTCAACCCAAACCCTTAAATTTATTCTTGTTGGTTTCCCTGCATGTATGTCTGTGTGAGGCTGCCGGGTCCCCTAGACGTGGAGCTACAGACAGTTGTGAGCAGCTATACTGCAAATTGACTCTTTTGCTCCTTTAACCACGGAGCCCTGTCTCCATCTCTAACTTTAAAACAAAGGCTTCTGAGTCCCAAGCCACCCACCTTTACCCCCGCCCCCATCTGCTTTGCAGAAGGTCTTTTTCTCGGTGTGTCTGCAGCAGGTGTGTGTGTCCTTTTTCTCTGTGTGTCCTCACCTCCAATAGCTACTTTTTTCACCTGCTGACTCTGCCTGCTGCTACCTGTGGTGTCTGAGCTCTCTCCAGTGCTACCTGCCACGCTTGAGATTTTTCCCTGCCTTTTAATTCTTTAACTGACAGAAAACAAAACTGATCCTAACCCTTAAGCTGTATCACACTGATACACTTAGAAGATCTGGGGGAAATCTGGTTCATTCAGTCTCATAACACAAACCTAAGAATCATCCCTTGTGTGTGAGACCAACTTTATCTCTTCATTGATGTGCACCTTTAAAAATACAAACTTTTAGCTTTTCTTTCTGGAAGAGGCTGGCTATACTGGAATAAGAGCCCACTAATGACTCCATTGGTAGATTTCCTCAGCGACGTGTTTATCGTTTGTATGATAGGGGATTTCAATTTTTAACCGGCCTTGTTCTTTTTCATTGATTCTCAAGAATTTTCAAGCCAACTCTAATATTGGCAACCTGGCTTTGGCTGCTATAAAGAGCTTTAATGCATGGTTTGAGATCTGAATTCACACCTATCTTTGTTTTATGACATCTGATTTATTTCACTTCCATGACAAATTGGTATGGGTGAGAACTTTGCATGTTCCCTGTACCTTCCTTAGCCTGATTTCTGCTTTGTGGTGAGTTTGTTAATCTCCAGGCATTTGAATAGGAACATGGAGATACACGAGGATAATGAAATATAACAAGATAACAGTACATATAAAACGCCATAGTTAATGACTTGTGAAACAAAGCAGCCTCTATTTCATCACAGATCAACTTAATGTGGTATAATAAATCTGAATGCCATTGTTTCAAATAGAAATGGGCGGAAGGAGGATTCTTAATAAAGAACACATGATAATCGTTCTCTCTTTCTGTCTCCGTCTCTCTATTTCTCTCTCTCTCTACTTGTTAAGTTCAGTTAACTTCCTCAATTAATCAAACAAATAAACAAGACATCAAGACATCACTGCTGAGTACAGATCCTATTCCTGAGCCAAACTTCCGATTTTCTCATTGGGATTGCAATTATTGATTTTTGTAATTGACTAAGGCCTGGGCATATCTGGATATGAATTTCTTAACTAAAGTGGCCCTCTTATAATTTTCAAACAGCTTTTCACAAAGGGATTCAGCATGTTGCATTTATATATGTGTACATCTCAGATAAGAATAATCAATGAAAAAGAGAATCAGTTTGAGAGGGAGTAAAAGGGAGGGCAAAAAGGAAGGGCCAGAGTGAGGAGACAAGGGAGAGTTAGGAAGAAGGAAAGGGAAGGGCTGCGGGTGAGAGAGAGAGGATAGGCACATCATGTAGAGTAAAGTTGGACATTTATTAGGTGGGTTATGGAGGGGAAGGAAATAGGGGAGAAGGGGGAGAAACAGAGAGACAGAGACAGAGAAGGGGGAAACAGAGATGTGGGGAGAGATGCAGAAGCTGGGGACTGACAGAGAGAGGGACTGGGAGAGAGAAAGCTGAGGTTGCAAGTAGGAAGGGAGTGGGCGTGGTTTGTCTCTTAAAGAGACAGAATTACAAAGGGGAAGTCGTGAATTATATTTTAATTTAAAATATTTTAAAAATGAAATAATGCCCATCTAGAAGGAAGAAGAATAGACATGAGAAGAAAAGGCTGGTTTTCCCCACCAGTTGTGTCCTCCTGATACTAACTACTTTGTTCCCTCTCCTCAATGGCATTTCTCATTATCCATTAACTCAGCTTTCTCCAACTGGGAAGCAGATAAGGGATTCCTTCTCTAGCATCTCACATCTTTTTGTGCCTGCATAAACCCAGCATGACTGCCATGGCTTCTGTGTGAATTTAGCTGCAAGCCTTTACCCAGTAATAACTTCACAACATAGAAACGCAAGGGTGTTTTTAAAAATTAATCTGTAATACATTTTATTAACATCTTGTAAAATTTTATAGAGACATATAATATATTTCTTCATATTCAACCCCCCATCAACCCCAACCACTCCTTTTGGTACTTCAACGTAGAATTCACGGAAATTATATACTAGAATAAAATTTGCTTTCTCTTAGCTGTTAAAATCAAATCCTAGGAGAGGCTGGGAATGGAATTCAGATTACACATGATACTTACTCTGTGAGGCTTTGGGTTCATTCTGTTGGTTTTATCCTATTGCCCAAAACCAGTAGCAAAGGAAAAGGATTATGGTGAGGGTTGGGGAGTCCATCTCGTAGGAGAACTGCAAGCACTTGGGGTCAATATGATTAGTGGCATCAGGGGCCAAGAGAGTGGAACTTTGACAGGATCCCCAAAGGAAATGAAGGTGCTATGTTAATTTAAGCTAAGCAGCAAAGTTAGTAAGAAAAGCCCAGGAATTGAATACAAACTCTTTACCAATGATGATCATTCTTTTTTTTTTATTTTGCAAATTAAGCAACCAAGGCTCATAATGTTTTAATGTCTTTTTTAAGACAGCACAGCATATAAACTGTATATCCAGGCTCAAACCAAAGGCAGTGCAATTTACCCTGGTCAGGTCTGTCTCTAATTCATGGGTATGCAATCTTAAACCAGCCGATGTGTCTTTATGGGTGCCAGTTACAAATGCAACTTGCCACCTCTACCTGGGAAAGATGGTCTGTTCAACTGTCCAGGGTGCAGCAGGATCTTATTCATAGATGACGTTTGGAACATTAGTGCCACAGTGGTATTATAGCTCTCAGTGAACAGCTTCTGCACCCCAATAAACCTCTCTGCAGACACAACCATCTAAATCAGACCAAATCAACCCAAAATTTTATAAAGCCCAGGTTTAATGGACAAAGCGCTCCCGGATGATTTTCCAGCACCCCCAGAGAGGAGAAGGGAAAGAAACACGGGAAAATCACAGGTCTGTTTTCTGAGGGGCAGTTGAAATGCCCTGTCAGAGTGGTCTTGACCCCAGAGGGGAGCGGGGTCATCATTTAGCGGACTTTCTAAGATGCTGCAAGGTTTGAAGAGAGAGAGGGGAGGGGGCTTGGGGTGGAGCTTCCACCTGAACATTCCAGACTCTTTGGATATATAGATGCCAGGAACTAGGCTAACACATCCACCCAAACAGTAAGGATGATTGGACAAAGAGAATATGCAAGTCTACAGAGCCATACAGGCTGTTTTTCCCCCATGATCAAACATCAGTTCAAATCCTTCCTAGGAAACCTCCATAGTTCTTGATTTTTACGGGAGTGTTTCCTATCAGGATTGTTTTTTACCTTAACTTTGTCCCACTGACTGAAATACTATTCTATCCGGCCTTATGTTTTCCTCCACTTACTCATCCATTCATCTGTTGACTTCTTAAGAGCCTCCTATTCACCAGGGATTCACAAGTAGGCAAGATGTGGGTTTCATTATCGTCGGCAGCAGAGCATAGGGGCAGAGACGCCCAGCATAATGTTCATGCCTGCAAAAACTGGAGCAGGTTTTTCAGTAACATTCACTCTGGTGAGGCCATATCCTTGACTTCGTTGCAGAAAAGATTTCCAGCATGAAGAAGAGCTCATTAAAAAGCAGCTTGGGAGTTAGGAGAAAGACATTCGTAAAAGGAAAGAGACACGCTCAGGTGATGGGATGTGTGTGTGGGCTTCTCCATGGGCTGAGTCATTCTTTGGTGTCTCTGTAGTAGCTATAATACATGTACAGGATTTTCTTGGCAGTCAGTTACACCACAAAGGATCGTTAAGAAACTATTTTTTCCCTTTTTTTGATAAACAACATAATAGGGTAAAACCGGAGGTGCCTTTGGCAGGATTTTAATATGATCAGGTAAAACCACAGTCTATGAGGTCTGCACAAGGCGGGGGGGGGGGGGGGGGAAGACATGAATTTTACTTCATTTTTGATAGTTTCTTGTGAGATTCCAGAAAACAGCAGTTTTACAGCTAGCTGGAAGACGAAGGAGGCTGTATACGCGTAGATCTTAAACATGGCTCATTGCCATCTTAACGTTCTTAGTTTACATCTTTCTAGACGTTGGAATTATTGACTCCATGCAGGCAACTTGCACAGTCAATGCTTGTGCTGGAACTTTTGACGCTGAGCAGGCAAGACACTTCAACCAAACTCTGAGGTAAGCCCATCTTAACCTACACAGCCTAAGTCTCCCCGTCCTTCTGTCAGGCTCAGTATCAGGGGAGTCATTTTGCAGCTTTGTAGAGAAGTGCTCTCATGTAGAGTGGCTTTGGGTTTTACCCATCACCACTATTTTGCATATTACTTTGTCATAGCTCTTAACTAAGTCTCCTGATAGTCCTTGATGTGCACTCCTCACTTGGATAACGCTGATTCCAGGGCATTTGTTTGCACGAAGGAAACACACCTGGGTTTTGAGACCTAGTGACACAGTTTGAATACGTGCTGCATATACCATTTGACAGGTTCAATGGACATTTAGCTT